GGCCCGCGACTACTTTGTGTGCCCCGGCGGCGCGCTCGGATCCTCCGGCTCAGCTCGCCCTCTGGGCTGGTGCGATCTAGGTCTTCGGCCCACTACTCTGCACCGCGGGAGCCAGGAATTTCCCGAGTCCGAGCGGGTAGGAAGCATCCTAGGGAAAAGCTCCCTCCCCATGTTCTCTTTCCCGTACTGAATAAACTTCCGCCTCAGAGGGGCTGTCGCTACGGCGGGTCGGGGGAGAGGCCAGGCATCCAACTTAGGCCCCCGTGGGGGGTCCTTCTGCCAGGGCGAATGTGGAAACACAGCTCTCACAAGATAAAATAGGGCTTTGCTAGGCGCTTGTGGGTGCGATGCCAGTCTGCGATTGCGCTGCGAGCTGCAGCCGAGCGGCCAGACCTGGGCTGCAGGGGTTGGGCAGCAGCGATCACCCCTAAAAAGTAGCAAGGAGCCTGCTTCAGATCTCCATACCAATGCTTCTTAGGGCCGCGGGCCGAACCGGCACGGGTCGCTCCGCTCCCCGCGGTCGGGAACACGGCACTCCCTGGAGGTGGCGCTCCCGGGAGTGGGGAACCCGGCTCCACTCGCGCCCCCCTCAGCCTCCGGCCTGCAGGCGGTAGAGGGCGGCCTACGCTCATGTTGGAGGCGGCGCCCGCGCGCGGGGCTGCTGCCCTGCTGGAAGCCTCCCGGTTCCGCTGTGGCCCGCGGCTGTGCCTGGCGCTGGATGCTGCAGCTATGCTGTCCACGGACGCAGCGAGAAGAGGGCGGGGGGAAGCCCTGGCACATGCCAGGGTCGCCGTAGGGGGCAGCGGCCGGCGCATGCGCGTCCTCTCCCAGAAGCCTGGAACGCTGAGGGGCGCGCGCCCCCATCCGCGCGCACGCTCGCGCTGGCCAAGGCTTCCCCGCCTGCGCTCGTTGTCATAGCCGCTCCGGCGCGTGCGCGCGTTATCTCGGGCCGACCCGAGTGGCCGGGTTCCCTCAGCTCCAGGCCCCCGCCCCCTCCCCCTCCCAGCCCCCAGCCAACCCGTCCCCTTCCTGTCCTCGCGGAATGGGGCCGGCGCCGCTCGGGGTCGCGCGCCGGGGACCCGGCTCGCGCTCGGTCTCGCGCTGTCAGCGACTGCCCGGCTCGCGCCGCCTCGCGCTCTCCCTCGGTCAGAGGCGCCGAAGGCTCCGTTAAGCGGCGGCGGCGCGGTTCCTGTTTCCGTTTCTTCCTCTCCCTTCAGTCGGGAGTAGCATCCTCCACCCAGCCACCCCTCCCGCTCCCCCGGCGCGGGGCAGCTGCGGCTGAGGGCTGGGGCGGCGGCAGCGGCTGCAACTGGGGACCGGCGGAGACCGCCTCTGCAACCGCTGCGGGTAAGGGGGCGTTTGGGAGCCGGGCCCCGCGCGCCTCGGGGTCTGGGGCTGGGCAAGCGCGGGATCTGCGGGGGTTGCGGGGCTGTGGCGGGGGGCTGTTGCTGGTCTTTTTCCCCAGGCGACCCCCGGGCCTGTTGCTGCTACTGCTGCTGCTTATTCAGCAGCTCCGGGAAAAGTGGGGAGGGAGCCCCCGGGACGCTCTGGGGGTGCCCGGGCGCGGGCCGGGGGTGAGGGGCGCCGCCGCTGCCCTCAGCGTCGCGCATCCTCGCATAGGGCAGGGGCCGGAGCCGAGGAGGGAAGGGATGGGGGCGGGGGTGGGAGGTGTCCTTCTTCCCTGCACCTACCTGCTCTCTTGCCAGCAACTCGGTCCCTGTGGTCACAGACTGTATGGAGGATGCCCGTGCGTTATGGGCTTTCGGGAGGGGTTCTCGGCTAGGATCAGGGAGTGGACCCGGAGGAAGATGCGCTCCCAGCGAGGGGCCGATGCCAGGGCAGTGAACAGCGTGAGTGCTGCTGCACCTCCCACTTGGTGTGGAAATGATGAGCTGGCGGCTTTTGAGCGTCTAAACTTATTTGAGAAGGTTAAATGAGTCCATATTAGTTAAAGGAGCTTTGTCCTGCAGGAGTGGGCTGTCGGGTGCAGCACCTGTTCTCTCACTGTGGGGATTGCAATCTTCAGCCACACGGAACGTCAGAGACGCAGTGTATTTCTTAAGTTAAATGGCAATGTTATGGTTAGGGTTTATCCCTGGTGAGCTTTTAGCGTTCTGCGATATATTAGCCTTTTGATTGAGGCCTCGGGTAAAGGCTTGGAGAGGTGTTGTTTTTTCTTCCCGCGTTTGAATTAATTTACAAGTTGACTTGAGCCAATTCAAGAAGGTAGACCTAGGAAAGCCAGAATCTCCAGTAGACAAACCTCAAGGTAACGCAGAACAAATTTCTACAGAAGTTTTCTATCGGTTTAGAATTAAACTCATCGCAAGTAACTGAACTTTGGCTTGGCTTTCTTTAGAAACTGTAGGCAAGGCTTCATTATAGTTTAAAAAATTTTTTTTTTAATTTTATTTATTTATTTTTCCCCCAAAGCCCCAGTAGATAGTTGTATGTCATAGCTACATATCCTTCTAGTTGCTGTATGTGGGATGCGGCCTCAGCATGGCCGCAGAAGCGGTGTGTCGGTTCGCGCCTGGGATCCGAACCCGGGCCACCAGCAGCGGAGCGCGCGCACTTAACCGCCAACCCATGGGGCTGGCCCATTATAGTTTTTTTTTTTCTTGTTGTTTCCTGGGGTTAAGTGCATATTCTTTTTTTCTTGATTAAATTTAAATTTCATGTTTTTATGCATGATTCTTTTAAAGGGTGCATCAGAGAGAAAACATTTTAGGAGAGAAATTATTTATGCACTACAAAGCTGTACTGAAGTAATGGTGTAAGTTGTATTCTCCCTTCTTTAAAGTAATTTAAAAGTAACCTGAAATCCTGTGCCAAATAATAAGGCCCTGTACATTGTTAGCCTTGTGAAATATACCATAAAATGTGTATAGAAAGTCTTAATTATTTGATTTACAAATACTACAATAGTAAGGATAAGGTGGGGGTTCAAGCATTTGAAATTGTGATTTTATAGCTTAGTATGTAAAAATGTAGAGAGTTAGAAAGGAATAGGCTATAAGGAACATAGAGGTGGTTTGGAGGGGTGGATTTTCCTTTTGCTGCTTCATAAATTGAGAATTCTATTTGAATTGAAGAGCTGAACAGCTGGAATGAAACTTGCATAGATTGCAGAAATAGATGCAAAAATGTATCTTTGATCAAGTAGTGAGTTAACATGATAGTAGTGAGATAACATGTGGTTTGTTAGGATAGTGATTCAAAGTAATTTCCATAAAATATAGCACTGTATAGATTGTATTTTAAGATGTTCTTAAATTTAAAGAGTCCCTTGCAGGTGTTTTCCTACAAGTCAGTTCTATTTGAGATGTATGGAATTGAAAAAACAATAATTCTGATTACATTCTGCAGTGTTTGGTTACAAATCTGAACTAGTTATTTTAAGGAATTGGAATGTCTTTAAAAGTGGTGAATTTTGAAATTTTCTTGTGGCTTGGGAACACTTGTGTTCCTTGTTTATTTTTTTAAGTGCGGTCATGTTAGTAGGTTGGTCTGGAGGGGGAGCTAGTGCCAAAGCAAAGCATAGCTTAATATATGTTTGAACTTTTAAAACACCCCAGACCAGATTTTTATGACCAGAAGAAACATAAATTTTTAATTAAAAGAGTAAGGGAATTGACATGGGCATATATCTGCACTTAGTTATTTGTGAATTATATATATTGCGTATTACAAATTAGTTAAAAAATCTTTTCATGATCTGAAATAGCGGAAAGTAAATGCTTAAGGTTTATTGAATTTCTCATTTAAAATCTCTGAAAATATGTCGCAAAATTTAGAGTATGTGATACTGGTTTCTTAACCTTCTTGTGCATTGTATCAGAAGGGAAGGAGTGTATCTTGACTCTTTGTGCATGTTGGATGTTCTTAAATTTTTTCTTTATAATATTTACAGTCCTAAAATTTCAAAAACGCTTCGGGTTGACTCTTATATGGACAAAGATATCAATTGTGTAGTAAGCTAGGTATTTATCAAAAGTAGAGATACTTTCAATAAAGAAATGGAGCCTTCTACATCTGGAGAACAGGATCCCAAGGTCACTTCTTAACCTCTGTCTCCTACAATATAATGTAATGAGTCCAGCTGATCTGTCAAATTGTGCCTTTGAATATGAAGCAGTTATTTTTTGGTCTATGGCACTTTATTTAGATTTCTAAACTATAATCAGTTAGGTATGTGAATTTACTTCTCACAGTTCACATATTCTTTAAATTCAAGGCTAGAAACTGATAGTGTGTATATTAAAATCATTAGAATATTTAGTTTTCTGAGGTTAGTGGTTGGGCTGTTCTTAGAATCTCAATGCTGATAAAAAATAGATTCTTTGAAAGGAATGACAGTACCTGTGAGATACAGAATAGTGAGGTGTTTACCATATTTAAGGAGTTAATGCTATAAATTAAAGTTTTACAAGGCATGCCAAAATATTTTTAGATATCTTTTTCCATTTCTTTAATGGTTATTTTTGATTTACTATAAACTGAATTCAGTAAAGCTCTTGGTTTAATTAAATGGTAAATACACTCATTTCATATTATAGCACATTTATAAAAGTAAAAGAAAGTGTTTCCGTTTTATAATCATGAGTAAATATAAAAATAGGCATGTAAATAAGTTTCATTACTTAAAAATAAAACAAAACTGAGATTCTAAACGACTCTGAAACTAAAAGTATTACAGTTATAATACCTTTAAACCTGCATCAATACTGGTCCTGTTGGTACTTTTCAGATGAGAGATCACCTTCTAGTTTTCTGTAGTCAACAGTAGTGTAGTAGGTGTAGCATTTAGAGGACAAACACAAGATTTCCTTTGGTTCTCCTCTTAGTAATTCTCTGGCTTATATTTCTGTACCATATAGTATATGGTTTCTTTGTGATTTTAATTGTTGTTACGTTGTAGTTTGCTGTAATGAGATAATTAAACATGTTTAAAAGTAAAAGATATTTACAACTGATTTTTTTTTTTGAGAGAGAGATTGGCGCTGCACTAACATTTGTTGCCAGTCTTCCTCTTTTTTCTCTCCAAAGACCCAGTACATAGTTGTCTATCATAGTTGTAGAGCTGTAGCTCTTCCATATGGCTCTTCTATGTGGGACACCGCCTCAGCATGGCTTGATGAGTGGTGCGTAGGTCCACTCCCAGGTTCTGAAGTGGCGAACCCCGGGCCACCGAAGCAGAACGGGTGAACTTAACTGCTACCGCCACCAGGCTGGCCCCTACAACTGATTTTTAAAAAACCTTTTTAAGATTACCAACAGAAGAGTATTACGTGGGGATGTGTATGTGTTTAAGATATATATTTTAACAGATTAGTCTCAAGTCTTGACCTTCCTTTCTCTCTGCGTTCTACTCTCCTGCCTGCACCTCCCCTTCTTCAACCACTCTCCATCACCCCACAGCTTTCACTTTGGAATAATTAGGAATCAAACCAATAAAACAAACCATATCACTCACCTGGCATTTAATCAACATTTTTCTTCCTTGGCTAAATGACTTTATATCAATCTCTACAACATTCTAAACATATAACCCATGCAAACTTTATACGATACTGTACGTTTTCCTTTTAATGGAAGAAGAGCAGATAGGGCCCCTGGGATTTTGCCATATGTTTCAATATAAGAGTTACTCATACTCTTTACAGAAAGCATAGCTATAGGGTTAATTTCATAAGTTTTCTTTTAATAAAACTATTTGCCAAAACCTAATACCTCACTCATGTACTACTTTTTAAAAGTATCTTTTTGTGATCGTTGTTTTGGTCAGAAAATGACATGTGAAGGGGACATATGTTTTGAATTTTAAGTTTTTAAACAAATTGACAAATTATACCAGTATAAGGCTAGTACTGATGTGGTTCAAATTTGCCTTTGCTGTTATTCTCTTTTCTTTTGTATGGGTTCTCTAGTAACACCTCTTCACTGAAGCTCTGGAATAAAACTTTAAAGATTACTCACTACTGAAATATGCCCTGTATTGTTGTACCTTAGACCTTAGGTTTTTCAAATTTATTTTCCAATGGGATAAACTGAATAAATATGACAACAAATTTATGTTAAGAAGATCAGACTTAACAGTTCTGCTTAATCACAATCTTGATGACTGGTTAATGTAAATAAAGTTCGCATTAGAAAATAAATAATAAAATGTTGATATTAATCTTAGATGTAAATGAAAAATTAACCTGATGTTTATTTTAGAATCTGAGTTATGAGAAACATCATATGATATGAACTTCAAATGGTATAACTTTCTGATTATGGAAGAACAAAAGTAAAATGAAAATGAGAGATTCTTTGATTTACCTCAAACATACAACTAAACT